CTCACTCTTATATCTTACCGTGCGATATTTTTGGCTCATATCCTCATAGCAAGTGTGGGCCCTCTTTGTTATATTTTGGCTTTAGCTAGATCTTTGCAACTTTTAGCTTCTAGCTAYTTTTAGCTTCTAGCCTGCCCTGTGCTACAWTTGGTTTTCTTTTTGTTATATTTAGCATTTAGCTAGCCTTTCGCAAATTTTACATTTCAGCCAGCTTTTTGGTTTGTCTGTTTTTCGATACTTTTAACCTTTTGCTACTTTTGGCTTACTTTGTGTTTTATTTATCCTTTAACTAGAGTTTTGTTTCTTTTAGCTTCAAGGTAGCCTTCGGCTTCCTTTAGCTTGTTATATTTTGGCTTTAGCAAGACTTTTGCTACTTTTAGCTTCTAGGCAGCTTCCTCTTACTTCTAGCTTACTTAGGCTTTAGCTACTTAGCAAGTGTTAGGCCACTTTGTTTTATATTTTGGCTTTAGCTAGATCTTTGCAACTTTTAGCTTCTAGCTAGTTTTAGCTTCTAGCCTGCCCTGTGCTACAWTTGGTTTTCTTTTTGTTATATTTAGCATTTAGCTAGCCTTTCYCAAATTTTACATMTCAGCCAGCTTTTTGGTTTGTCTGTTTTTRGATYCTTTTAACCTTTTGCRACTTCTGTCTTAACCATCGTTTTGCGACGTTTAGRTTTAAGCTAGCCTTTCATTACACTGAGCTTTTCAATCCATTTGTTAGTTCAAGGAGGGTTTGAGTTTTTTTAATTGATATATTTTTTGCTTTCCTAGCAGCATGATTGACAGCAGTAGGAATCAGATAAGGTCCTGTAAAGCAACAACCGTTCAGCAGCCTCCAGCATCATAACTGGCTGCGTTACGTGTCCCTGGATGACCTCACGTATGAGCAAAGATTGACAATACCAGTAAAACAAGACGCTGAACTGGATTAACGCATCGTTTATCCTCCTACTGCAACATTTTTAAACGTCTTAAGGAAAAAAACCCCAAAACAAACAAAAGGTCTGAGTGTAAACACCGTGAACCCCTCCCTCCTCAGGCAGGTTAGAACACATCAAGTTAATATTTTGATCTGGTTTCACACACAGATAAATGCCTCTTAGTCTTAGCAATAAAAATAAAAAAACACTTCCTGTGCGTTCTGAAAGACACCCGTTCTCCTTCACTGATCCTGGTTCTCAAGTATGGGGTTGGGGTCCCACTCTGTGTCACAAACACAAAATTCAAATAGACTTTATTTTTTTGCAATGTTTGTGTATTTTTATTTTTGCGGGTGTCTGACAGTTGTTTCAGGATAAGAAGCTAAAAAAAAATTGAAACACTGAATTGTATTTTTTAACATTTTCTTACAAAGTTTTAAAAAACAAAACGATGGAACAGGAACTAAAATAATTCCCTTATTTAATTTCCCTTTGGGATCAATATTTTTTAATTGAATTGAATTGAATAATATTGTATGGAACTGAACAAAAAGTAGAAGTTAAAAGAAAAAGCGGGATACTGTTAAATTAATTCAGAGGAGCTGCACCGCCCCCTAGTGGTGAAGGAGGGTACTTTCCCTGGATTATGTGTAGGTATTTATAAATGTACACATCTATTTCTAAACTAAAAACATTGAAATACACAACTGTAACATGAAACAATAAAAACAATAAAATAAAAACACATTGTTTATTGACAGCAGCATGTATACTTCTGAATATAACTGATTACGGTGAACATTTGCTGAAGCAGATAAAAAAACAGGTCTAGGTGTGAGTGCCTAGCATTCATAAAAACAAAACTTTACACTAAAAAAAACGTATAAAAACAAGCTCATAAACAAAGGCCATCGCAGTTGATTAGATAATGTAACAAAAAAAGGGAAATTGTTAAAATAATCCTTCATTTTTTTAGGCACTTAAACGAGTCCAGGTCACGTTTATGACCTCTTTTATTTTTAATTAGCATTAGCCCGTTCAGCTCAGACTGAATGCAAACTAAAATGGACAAGAACATTTMAGAAAAGTACAAATTATAAACAAAAACAGGACCTTTATTATAAATAAACAGGCACCTGCGTGTCCTTCTACGCAACATAATGAAGAGGGATGGTCTTTAGGTGAAGTTAGTGCTTCTACGTCATGAACACGTCACCTGCTGTGATTCCAAACTTTGTTACAAAAATAAAAACAAAAACAGAGAAAATGTGATTGGACCTCTGTGGAAGCTTCGCTGCAGGTAAAATATGTTTACATCCCTGCAATTTGTAGATACTGAGAAGATACTCTGACCATTCTGAGGAGAGTCTGATAGGAAGAGTTAATATCTTACCTGTTGCAGATGACTGTTTGGAGAAATAAAAGTTTGATTTGTGACAGGATTAACGAGCTAGCATCTTCCTGCCAGTTTAACAGTCGGTACTTTATTTTGAAAGGAATCTAAATGGCGGCTGAGCTCCGTTTCTGCGAGAGGCCCCGCCCACTCCACGTTGTTCGAATATTTGATGAAAAATGAAATAATTACCCAGCTTGTTTTTGATTAAAAACACACGTTCCAAGCAGCAATCCTGCGTTTCAGTCTTCTCATCCATTTTTAGTTTGCTTAAAGAGCATCTGCAACAGGTAAGACACTCGTTCTTTTCTGACAAAATATAGAATTCAAAACATCCTGTAACATGACTCCTCCCATCTGTGGAGCAAAATAAGCACCTCAACGTTATTACAAGAACAAAACGTATAAAAAAAGTTCATAAAGGTACAAGTCGTTCATTCAGTAAGTCCTTGGCTATAAAACGTGATTGTTTTCGTTCCTGAAGTGGGTTTAGTTTCTGCGTGTTGCATAGAACACGGGACCTGCATGCAAAGCCCGTTCTGCAGTTTTAGTTGGAACGGTTGTGAGATGAAAGGGTTCAGGCACTGAGGTCGAGGAGGGGGCGGAGCCGCCGTGCACGAGGACGTCCGTGGCGCCGCTGAGAGCACGAAGTTCCAGCTCAGTCTGAACTGAAATGCATAAAAAAAGAGTTTTCTCTTCACCTCCGTTCCCTGAAACGAGTGAGACTCTTTGAGTCGGGGCGAGCTCAGACTTTGCTGTCGGATGGCAGCTCTCCCAGCGCGTGGACGATGTCGGTGAAGGACGGCCGCTCCTTGAGGCCGACGGCCCAGCAGCGCGTCATCAGCTTGTAGATTTTGGAGGGGCATCCTTCAGGAACGGGAAGCTTCAGCTTCAACGCCTTCAGACCTGAAAGGATCGTTTTATTCAACTCAGATTAGAAATGCTGTGGGATTAGTTGTAACATTAGATTTTATTTAATAAACATATACTGTATTTTAACTGTAAAATAAAGACTAAAAATAC